CAGTGAAGACAGCCTGCACGGATTTAAGAGCAAAATCAGGAGAACGGAGATGACTGTCATGATTGACGATGGATGCAAAAAATGTGCGCTCTGTAGTAGTTGACTTTTAACTCTAGGACATTGATAAATAAATAAATAATTTTAACTGTTAATAGGTTAGGTAAATAATTCTGTAAATAGGTTCCAGATTTCTTAATTTTAAAGCTTTTACCCTGTGTCCCCAATTAGTGCTATGCGCTAGGTTTTCACGACACATAAATAAAGTTCACTACTACTACTACTACTACTGCTACTACTACTACTACTACTACTACTACTACTACTACTACTACTACTACTACACACCACAGGTCTAATGCTACAATCCCACTCGTAAAGATCTCGCTTAGCCCGTGCGTTTTATTTATTCATTGTTTATCTATTGCCAGTCATAAAAGGAAAGCTCTTGGAGATCGATGAGGTACAAACCATGCTTGAGTACGACTTCGAGGTTGTTCAAATCATTCAAGAAGGAAACAAGAAAATAGGAAGCAATAAAGACGATAAGATAAAGCGGATAGAGGTCATGAAGCAAGGGACATGCCGAGGTATTAAACTTAAGGTGGACAAGGAATACTTGATCATGGGGCGAGATGAAGGAGGCAAGTACGAGCTAGACGAGAACTCGTTCGTCAAACTATGGCCTGAAGACGGCGAGAACAAAGTCAAATTGGATAAATTTTCCCGAGAATATAAATGCTCTTGAAATGCTTAAATGTGTCTTTTTAAAAACGGGTGATTTTTGGGAGTTTGACCACGAGGATTGCATAATGTAGAGTGATACTATATTAAGGTAGAGTAAAAAATTCAAAGTGCTACATGCCTATTTCTACAGATGATTTTTTTTTTAATTATTTGTGTGCTTCTTTAACCTAAAACACCGAAACTCACGAAGGAAAACTTGGACCAATTTTTTTTTTTTTTATCATGAACGAGCTCAGTTGGGGTTTAGGCATACACAAGCTTAGTTTTCCCCTTGCAACATTGATCTGTAATTGATGTTATACAAACTAAACTTTCCCATCCTCCTGTATTTGGTGGTAGCTTTACCTGAGCAAACCGTAATTTTAGGCTACTCTGTTAGATTTTAAGGCACCTTTCGGCGTTTCTTTAAGATTCACTTATAGGCGAAGTATTTCACAGAAACTGCTATCCTCTAAACTTCCTTCTATGGGATTCCTAAGAAATGCTTCCCCATCCAATCTATGTTATCTTTGCATTTAATTGGGGAAGCGTTTCACTTTCCACTTCATCTAGCAATCAGGGATTTCTTTCTTTTTTTTTTTTTTTGAGTTTCCGAATTGAAATCAGACTGCTGCCCAGTAACCATTTTGCACGGCCAGGTCGCTGAATTTTTTCTGATATGGCTTCGCTGTTTCAGGGCAGCTAAAGGTTAATGTTGGAGTTATAGCAGAAGCATTAGTAAATAAGACAAAAAGCATTATTTCTAAACGATATATCGTCATAAACTTGTTATGCCGCACAGTATTTTGCTGAATTAAATAAACGAATAAGTTTTTAATGATTTGTACTATTTTAATCATTAATTTCTTGATCAATTTATTGTCAGGGAAAAAGTGGTTGAGATTCTTTGGTAAACTCAGTGCTTGGGGATGGTGATCGATTAGTATATTTTGCATATGTTTTGTTGAGTCAAGATAACACTGAAAAAAAGTCCAAGTAATTTCTTAGGGTTAGGGTCAGTACCGTAGGCATACCTGTGGGATTTCAATGATTCTCTTCTTATTACACACGTTGGGGTTGTCTGCCATTGTCCTCTATATCATTTCACATGTCCTTAGATGATTGCTCCAATTCTTATCGTTTTGTTTTCAAAATACCTCAAATCAGACTGACGATAAATATAGAATAACTGGACACTTGTAGATATGGACCTTCTCTTCGAGTTCAACACAATACGCCTTACTGACAAGAAAAGTCGACTTTAGTAATGAATCCATTCCACGAAAAAACGTCGTAAAAGTGCTTGGGCGATAAGGCTCAAGATTAAAGAATGCGTTGTAACATTACAAAAACAACAATGGACGAACTTTCAATTTACAAAATTCTCAGATATCAACTTTTTCCTTACCGACAGAAGAAATCTGCCCGGGTACACGGCCACAATCGGCCTGTGGCAAATCTTCCAGTTGTCAATTTTCGTTTCAGCCGCGGGATATGCTATTACTAATTAAACCCAAGTAACTTTAGATTTTTGTGTAGGATACCTCTGGCATCCCACGCTATTGTCATCGGCCCGTGCCGTTAGTGCAAATGAGTTAGGGTTAGATCTCATCTGCTTGTTTTTGGCTCGTATCTGTTTATGCAAATAAGCTGCAAAGATTGCACTGCATTGTGGATCCACGTTGGAAAGTGACTTCGATCTTCGGGTTGTCTTGATCTGCTTTGACAAGTAAAAATTGCGCTGAAAAAACGATTATTAGTGTTTGTTCGAAGTAAGCTCTGAAGCCAACAGTGTACACAATTTAGAAAGCGATGATCATGCATAATTAATGACATGCGCAGACATAGAACATGGAACAGTGGTTTAGAACAAGGTTACCTAACAGCGCGTTGATTGAAAGAATCTTTGAGGGCCAGAAGACCTTCGCCATTGGGAATAACAGTATAAAGATAAGTAATATCCACAGTGAAAAAAGTTTGTCTTCGCCAAGGAAATTGAAGTCGCGAAAAATTTCAAGAGCATGTTGGCTGTATTTCTTATATGATAGTAAATTTTTTGACGATGGGAGCCATAATTTTGCTTAAATAGCTGGAAATAAATTCGGTTGGACAACTGCAAATTTAAACCGAGACAATGGGTCGACCTGCGTTGTTAGGTTTGTGAACATTAGGCGAAAAGCAAATACAAGACGTTCTAAGAGTGGTAATGATGAGATTTTTCGCAGTGGTCGGCAATACTTGTTTAGCTTTTAGTTCGTTTTTGACAGTGTTTTGGCTTATGGAAGTGATATCTTTGTCAACCTTTTGATAAAAAGAGGTGTCAAAAATTTGCCGCAAAGCTTCTTTTTGGTAGAGGTCGGCCCGCCAAACAACTAATGCGCCGACCTTGTCGACCGCTTTGATAACAATGTCTTTGCGTTTTTCTAGGCTTTTTAGTACCGACCACTCTTCAGAGGAAAGATTGGAAAAGTTTGAAAAATTTATCTTTCAAATCGACACTCTTAATCCCATAGGTATCAACGCCTTTCATTCTACTAATTTATTCTTGGTTCTCTCGTCACCATGTTCCCACCAATAGCGTAGTCCCACTTTCTGCATATAAGGGGCTGACCATTTAACTTTTGAGAGGGGGTGGTTGATTTTGAAAAAATATTTCCTGCAAGCGCTTGTTGGAAGAAAAAAATTGCATGCAGCCCAAATGTAGCAGAAAAGATGTACCAAAAAATCTGAAAAAAATATCCTGCACAGCAGATTGCTAGAAAAAAAAATTCTTAATGACCAGAAATCACCCACCCCCTCCTCAAAAGTTAAATGGTCGGCCCCTAAACACACACTCAACCCACAATTCCACCATTCGCCTGATGAAGGGCTAACGCTTGAAAGTCAACTTTCTCTTTACGGTAGCTAATTTACATTAAACAACTTAGTTAATACAACCAAATTACCTTGATACTTCCACTGATGCAGCACCATAGTTTCTTTAGGAAACTTATCCCCTTCATTCATTTAGCTAAAAGATCGTAATGCTGCGACACATTCTGTCGATAGTGACATAGTTTGCACAGTGGTTTATCTGCCCGAGCGTTCTCAGACTTCTTAAAGTAGTGTCAAACAGTGGGGTGTTTCCAAAACTAACATTTGATAGCACTCTTCTCACCTCAAGTAATAAACTTTCCGAGCACTGGATTGCGGTTTTTAGTCTGTTCACAGACTAAGACAAATTGGATTTTTTTTCTTTGTTTGCTTTTGTGGGG